GACGCGGCCGTGTCGATCAACCATGAAGGTCTTTTCGTGACGAGAGATCACGTGAAAAGGGCCTTCGTAAGGCTGTTGTAGAGGTTTGCGTACCGAATCTACTCGTATGAAAACATGTGAACAGGTAGATAACTCTCGAGGGAGAGCGACCTGTCGATGTTGTATTCGAGTTGACACCGGAGACAGCGTTCGCATAAATGCAGACAGTCGATGGACGTAGTAGGATTTACCGAAATTGTTACTGCTCCGTGGTGTGAAAAATTCCCCAGGCAGACGCAATGTCGTGCCGTATGCAAGTTCAGCGGCGGAACATTGAATATCTGCCTTCAAACTCGTTCTGATGCCTAAGAGAACGAGCGGTAAGGTTTCGTACCAATTATCGTTTTCGTGTGCTCGGAGAGCACTTTTAAGTTGTCGATGAAACCTTTCAACTAAACCATTCGATGCTGGATGGTAGGCGTTAGTGCGTATGCGTTCCGTACCAAGCAGCCTGGTCAGTGAGGAGAATAATGCGGACTCAAATTGTTGTCCTCGGTCAGTCGTGACGGTCGAGGGACAACCATACAGTGCTATCCATCGTTCTACGAAGCGGTGAGCAACTGTCTCCACCGTGATAGACGTGATGGGAATAGCTTCGGGCCATCTTGTAAAACGGTCAATGCACATGAGTATGTGATCATACCCATGCGATGGTGGCAATGGTCCTACAATGTCTATATGAACGTGATCGAAGCGAGCATCAGGCGTAGCGAACGTGCCAATAGGGGCAACTATGTGCCTGTGTACTTTTGATCGTTGACACTGTAAGCATTGCTTTACTCACATACGAATCGTGCAGCGATGAGACGTAATGTGGCTGCGATACCTGGATGAGACAATCCATGAAGGGCATCGAAGACGAGACGGCGATAGGCAGAGGGTACGATGGGTCGGGGAAGACCGGTAGAAATATCACATAGGATAGTACCTGAGCTAGTAGCTAGGGGTACTTCCTGACACCGAAGGGATGAAGATTGTGGTGCCTCTGTACAGACAGGATCGTTTGATTGCGCGGCGGCCATAGCAGGAAGATCGAGCACCGGTAAAGTAACTGCATTCGTCTGGATACGTGAAAGAGCGTCGGCAACATAGTTCGACTCGCCTTTAATGTGACGAAGGTCTGTCGTGAACTGTGAGATATAGTCCAAATGTCTGCACTCTCGTGGTGAGTAGCGGTCAGACTTGGTATGCAGAGCATACGTTAAGGGCTTATGGTCGGTGAATAAAATGAATTGACGTCCTTCTACTGCGTGCCGGAAATGTTTGATGGCGCAGTAGGCTGCAAGCAGCTCGCGACCAAAAGCGCTATATCTCGTCTCCGTGGGAGTAAGGCGTCGTGAGAAAAATTCAAGCGGTTGCCAACTACCGGAGATATTCTGTTGCATAACGGCTCCTATGGCGAAATCTGATGCATTAACCGCTATACTAAGCGTGGCTGATGGGTCAGGATGAGCGAGAAGTGTAACTTCAGCGAGAGCCGTTTTGATCTCTGAGAATGCAGTACGTGCGGTATCGTTCAGTTCTAATTTGCGTGGATTACCGCGTAGTAAATCGGTTAATGGTCGTAACCGTTCTGCCGCGTGAGGGATGAAACGTCGGTAGAAGTTAACCAAACCGAGAAAAGCCTTCAGTTCCTTGATTGAGGACGGCACGTTGTACTCCTTGATTGCTCGAATTTTGTCCTCGCAAGGCAGAATACCCTCTTGTCTGATGATGTGACCCAGAAATATTATTTCTGATTTACCCAACTCACATTTCTCTGGGTTGACTACTATTCCATTATCCGAAAGACGTTGGAATAATAGCGTAAGGTGTTGATAATGTTCATCTACGTTTGATGATGCGATCGGCAGGTCATCAATATAGACGTGAACAAAATCCAAGTCTCGTACTATGCTATCGATAAACCTTTGAAAAGTTTGAGCAGCATTCCGTAATCCAAATGGCATTCGTAGGAACTCAAACAGACCGAAAGGAGTCGTGATAGCAGTTTTCTCGATGTCTTCAAGAGCGACTGGGATCTGGTGATATGCTCGTACCAGATCGATTTTAGAAAAGATAGTCGTGCCCTTGAGCGATGCCGTGATGTCGTGTATGTGGGGGATGGGGTAGCTATCAAAGCGCGTAACTACGTTTAAAGCTCGGTAGTCGCCGCAAGGTCTCCAACTAACCCCATCCTTTTTGCGCATCATGTGTAAAGGAGAGGCCCAAGGACTGTGAGAAGGACGAATAATACCAGCAGATAGTAAATTGTCAAACTCACGTTTAGCGAAGGCTAATTTGTCCGGTGCCAGTCGGCGTGGTCTTGCCGTGACTGGTGGTCCGCGGGTGACTATGTGGTGTACCACACGATTGGTCACCGATGAAATCTCCTCGAGTGGTTTAGTTAATCTGGGGAATTTCTCGAATAAGGCGTGGAATTTATCGTCACGCGAATAAAAAGTTCCGAGGATTCGGTACGCGTACATCGGAGTCTATTATATTAATACTATTCTTATCGTTATCCGTCATGTCAAATATATATATTAAAAATTAATATGAAAATATATGACGGACGTGGATAGATAAAACAATAGACTCACCGAATTGCCTTCTTTGAAAGATTTGACCGAGGTTGAGGCGTGTTCCAAAATTTGGATCACCAAATGTAGCGTGGTGTCGAGTTGAGCTGAACTATGAACACCGCTACCAGACTACTTGCCAATAGACCAATAAAATTCCGATAGGCCAAAATATCAGAAGGCAGATGATTGTAGTAGTCGTATATATTTGTTGGCGATCTCGTGGTATCGAAAGAATACCGAGATCGTGCCAAAGGAGTACAGTTGCGATCGGCAAGATAAGATACGTGCGTAGTCCAAAAACCGCGTAAAAGCAATGGAATACAATGGAAGCCCAAAATGGCTGTTATTAGCACAGTTAAACAAACGAGCACAGTAAAACAGTCACTGGTACAATTGGTTATAATAATAATTGTTTTCATCGAACCAATCGTGTTCTGTTGACAAAAGTAGGTCACTACACTATCATTAACAATGTTGGCGTTTCACTGTTTTCCCTATGTAAATGATCTCGACAGCTGTTTATGTAAACATTATTAATTAATTATTCTCACCTAAATCACTATGTTGGTCATTGTTGAGTGCTAGTATAACTTGTTTGACCTGAAAAATTAAAGGCGAACCACTGAAGTATGCAGTGTACTAGTACATTAGGTCTCTCTTGTTAATACTGCAAAAAATAGATGGTTTGGTGTTAATTTAGAGACATTTCTCCTCTGTGGATAAAGTTTGGGGAAAACATGCATTACTTATCACGGTCTGGGGAGAATAGTAACATTTTGACACCAATTTAACCTAAGGAGTTACCCTAAAATTCTCCCTTATCACATCTTTTCTGTTTGCTTCGATGTACCACTAGTTCTGTTGCTTTGCACGATTTTATTAAAATATTCGTGAGCATTAATAAACTATTAGGTCGCATATATTGAAATCATCACCCCTTGATTTATTTAAAACGCTATAGGTACTCTTGCTTAACGAAGGCTACCGGTTCAAACTGCAAGCTAGAAATTTACATCATGTATATTAAAGGGTTAGTCTGTGTTATTGATCATATGGTGAATACTGTGTCTGAAACAGCATTAATAATGCTGTTAATATACATAGGGTTACGTCTAAATTGTAGTCCGAAAAAAGTATATGTGGAAGAAGAGTGTGTATAGGTCTTTGATTCCATCAATCTAATTACGATTTGGTGAACAGATATAAGTCGTTTCAACAAGGTCATAATAGTCTCGTCCTTGCATATATAATGTCACTTTACAGTATAGCTCTTCTAATTTTTTCAGATGAACAATTCACGACTTCTATGACATCGGCATTATATTCAGAGAGAAGTCGGGGGAATCTTCTTTCGTTGTCAGATTACCTTCGGTAGCCATGAAGCTGACAGTACAAGCATGCTTGTATGCGATATTAGAAGATACCATTTTACATCCCTTAGTAATAAGAAGTAATCTTATTTTAGACTCCAACCCAAATATTTGTACCCAAATTGATATGGAATTTATGGATATAACATAGATCTCATTATGAAATCCAGCAATACGCGTAGGACGCGAGACTTATACAGCAAATTTTACACCATATACTGACACTTCAGTTTACATAACCTATCAAATTAACGGCTTGAAGTAACTGTATAGCTAGTACTGGACATCTGAAATATGCGCTGATTCGTTTTCACATCAATTATCTTAGTGAATTCAGTATGCGTATTCTGGAACTCCGTCCGTGTAGACTATGTTTGACATCATAATTCATTGGAAGACCTCACAAATGTAGCAAGATTCACCCTGAGAATAAGACATTTAAGGAATGAACATGTTGCGTATTATAAGAGTAGACGCTTGACAAATGATCTAATGTGTTGACTAGTAGAACACATCGTCAATTAATTGAATTTACACTACCAGTCTATAATTTTGAACAATGGGTCTGTTTCAGACAGGTGAACCAGAGAAGATTTTCCAGATATGACCCGATAACCCACCCTAAGCAGTGTGTTGCTCAATTTCATGGATTAGTTGATGTTAGACATCAACACCGCTGGATGACGGCTCAGTGGTCTAGTGGTTAAGCGCCTATCGCGTGAGACTGATAGGTTCTTGGTTCAAATCCCGCGAGGCGTGGTCGTGGATGCACACTACTGAGGAGTCCCACAATGGGACGAAACGGGCGTCCAGTGCTTCCAGGTTTCCAACGGTGGTTTAACATTAATCGGTTCATGATCTCAATCAAAAACTTTATAATCTCTTCAACCGCTATACTGAAAAAGTTCATAAAAAGAAAGATGTCATTGCATAATGAAAATGATGGATTTACCGATTTCTTTTGAGAAGAAACATGAAAAAATACAATTTGTTATTAAATGGCAAATATATTTGTTACAGGGTGACCGCGTCAAGCAATTGTAACGCTACCGTCACGTTTACATAGATGATTTGTGACAAGCAATTCTCCAGAAATCGATGGTAATTTCACGTACTAGTATTATAGTGGAGCAGTTATGTGACCTTTTATACAATGATAGTCGATGTTCCTTGGCACCTTACAATTAACGATTATCTGGTGCGTAACGTTAGAGTTCAAAATATTTTTCCAGTTGGTTTTGGAGATTTGCATTCTTCAAAACCTTTGTTCATGGGCGAGATTTGAGTGGTTCTCTATCAGTCTCTGGAGATTTCGACCTGTTGTCACGGTCGAAATAAGACTATAATTTTATACAAATGAGAACGAAGGGGAAATACGCTGGGAAATAATGCGTCAAAATGTCTACTTTTTCGAGTGTCAGGGGGAAATAATATAGATTTTCCCCTATTTTTCACTCTGTGCTTCAAGTGTCAATGACTCCCACTCAATAGAGGGGAGTTAAAGGGGAACAAACGAAAATTTATTTATTTATTTTAACACATAGGTATTGGTACAAGGAGGCACCAAATACATATGCGCCACACGAATCTCAATTGATTTGTGTGAGGGCTGTGATACTGCCCGGGTGCCCAAACCGAAGCAGGACAAAGGAAAATAAAGAGGAAATAATGGGGAACTCTCTAAACTGTGTGCTTTTTTTCCTGTTCGGGGAAATAATGCTGATTTTCCCTCTTATATCGCTCTGTTTTTCAAACATCACTGAATTGTATACTTTTCGCTTAAACACACGCCGAATTGTCTGCTTTTCGCCTAAATTCTCACCGCATTGTCCACTTTTTGCCCAAATCTGAGCCGAATTGTCTACTTTATATATAAATACGCGCCAAATTGTCTGCTTTTCGCTTGAATTATCTGCTGTCGCTTAAGCGTTTAGCACACCTTTGCCTGACTCCAGGTGTCTCCCATATTCATTTGTATATCCATGGCAAGCCACACAACAATTGTAATCAACGTTAAAATGGTACATGTTTAGAGAAATTTACTAAAGTAGACGTCATATTGCACATTACGAATAGTTGAGATGCTAGATCATCGATCGTTATGTAAGTGCCAAGTTGACATTTATCCTAAGTAACCGACGTCGAGGGGAGGAAATAGACTTTTCACCTTTATTTACGCTTTTGTTCGCTTTATCGTGCATTTGTTCCCCTTTATTTTACTTTTAATATTCTTTTTTGTAATAATGTGACAGAACTTGGTTCTACGTATAAAAGCTAAATTTGCATCACATGTTTTGAGAATGAGACGTAGTTATTTTCACATTCCTTAAGGAAGGCAGTTTGATGGACTAATCTATATGTTTGACAATCACGCTAGCCCTTCACCTAGATCATAATAAAGTCCCAATATTGTTGGAAACCATCTAAATGTATTCACTTGTCAAAATATGGTCTCTGGAGTACTTTAACGTCAAATGGTATTTAGTGTATCGTTCTATAAGACTTAGTCTTATATTTGGCTGCGACACAGCAGTTTACTAATCGATCCTGGGATTTCACATTTCAGGTTTGTTTTTATGGCCGTTCAGATAATTTCAGATCTAAGAATTAGTGTCGGAAAAATCAATGATTTGATATCTGAACATCATCGGACCTGCGTAGATGTTTAAATAAGCCACAGTTATTCGGGAAAAATTGATTATATCAATAAAATAGAAATGATCTTTGTTTCATGCTCATTATTGAGGAAGACACGTTAATACTAGCGTCACTTAAACTGGTCGACTAGGAAAATAAGCATCCTTTTATTGTAAAATATTAACGTGTAACGCTCAGATTTGATCCATATTGCCTATCTAATTTCTGTAAAAACGTAATGCTAAAATTATATGGCTCCATCCTCATGCTTTAATTATTTGAAAACAATCTACTCTGAATTAAACCAAACCCTTTAGAACAACACTAGCATTACATGTTTAGGGAAGTCAGTATAAGGTTTAGTTCGATATTTGGGCTGTTCACGATTGTTTTAAATAAATTATTTCTTTAATCAAAACTGTTGGAAATATTATTCATGCACATGTTCGAGTAGACAGTTTTAGGTCATACTGTGGGTCGATAATACTAATTGGCCTGTCAAACCGAATTGTAAAGAATGGAGTTCCAATTTGCCACTGTGATCAAAAGTCACGCGTTTCAGCTACTGTGTGTATTTGGTACAAACATCCGACGTGACGTTCCAAATGCCAAATTGGCGTACATTAATATGGTCGATGTCAGCGGAGAAAATCTTTTTTCCTAAAGGAAATAGTACATGGAAAACGCAATTCACAAATAACCATCTTTGCTGGTTGTTACTAGCATATGTGTATCAGAACTTTGCAACTCATTTTCTTACTAACAAACTTACCTCTGTTACAGGAGTATTTGGTTTATTTATTCCCGGTTGCTTGAATAAATAACTGTCGATGGTTTACCGCTCTCTGTATTTTTATATGTACATTTAAGTAGTACGTCTCTCCTTGAAAAAGCTTAAAACTCTGATTTCGTTTATTTCTAGTGATTTGATCGATAACTCTCCACAGGAATTATGAACTCATTAGGTCTACAGACGTATGTGGAGTTATTCCATTTTCCATCATTGGCTCAGTCGAATGTTTTCAACTTAACGTTTCTGAAGTCTGATGTTGCAAAACGATCAAAAACTAGTCGGAAAACGTACGACATACTGGTCGCATTTTTCCGTCCAGGTGAGCATTCGTATTCTGATTTCTTTATTTTAGCCTAGTAAGCGATCCACTAGCCAGCAAATATTCCTTTAGTATACACCACTTCGATGTAGAAGACAAAATTATTCAGCCACTAACTAAAACTATTGACTTTGCCTATTTACCAGGTTTCGTAGGAATTATAGTGATTATTTGTATGTAAATTCTTAGGTGCTTCAGACATAGTTTGCATTAATGCATTACATGACGAAATAACTGACGAATACTTCGTTGCTATCGGCTTTGTGAAGGTAACATTTATTTTAATCGAATGTTTATTATATTTAAGGAAGGAGAAAAAGGATATCTTAATATATACAGATCCAAGTCAGAAGAAAAGCTACCGGGTATGTTTTACACAGAAATCAGTCAATAAGTATTCTGTTCAGAAAATTGCTTGAGTTATTCCAAGTTACCTTGTGTTCCTCTTCATTTGACTCATGCACAGTAAGTTACACTTAGATTTTAATCAGGCTTACATTTATGTTAGCTTCTGTATTCAATAATGATGTATTTTCAAATGAGATGAAAATTTTGCATGTTTAAAAGAATTACTAGTGTTTCTGCTTAACATTTACTATCATAACTCTGATATTATCATTGTTATTGATATGACAAACTAATTAAAAGTAGCCAAATGAGTAGGTCAGTCGATGTCAATCAGAATTGACCTGAAGGACGTCGTATATCAGTACCACATTTCGAACACTGCCCATCACAACAGTTATCATTAGTTCCATGAACACTCACATTAAGAAATATTAAAGTCTATTGAGATTACAATCATATTAAACACGACGTGTGATTTTAATTATTACCAGTGTTTTTTTCAGTAACCAGTATACGAGTAACTATCATCTTTTATTGATTTAAATATATTCATCTGGGATATTCCGATACACGTAAACCCTAGTTAAAATCGTGCGTTTTTCAGTTCATTTAGCTACTACCTTATCTTACGTCAAGGAAATCTAAGACCAATTTCTCAGGTATTCAGTTCCTGGTGCTTAAATATCACGAAATTAAAATGATACACATAGTTTTGACTCTAACATTTATCTCCGTTAATTTAATCGATTTTCATTAGACTAAGCGTTTATTTTATAAAGTTTTTGCTTTGTGGACTAATGAGAGTTTGTTTGTGCTTTTTTTAGCTGTCTTATCAAAGACGAACATCAGTGGGCATTCTTTTTGTCTTATGGTGAACCTTTTAGCGAAACTTCCAGTCAACGTAAGTTTTGTAAATGCTGTTTCTGGAATTTTTCTATATTCAGTATTTCTAAAACTCAACTATTTATACAGCGTTGTTCAGAAATGGATGATTTTTAATTTGTCACTAGTAATTTATTTTAAATTTGTAATTTTGTTGCTCATATATTCTTCATAATAAAGCTCATAAACTCGCAGTTATAAATACTTTTGTAGATGAACAACATTTCGTTCACAGTGTAACCAATTAGTCAATCAGTCAGCTACAACGTAGGACCAGGCACATGTATGCATCGATCCAAGTTGCCATACCTCATTAGCACAACAAGATGAACACCGGATTCACAGAAGTAATTAATTCAGTGTTGGTAATATATAAAGGAAAGATTGCATATAAGGGTATAGTACAGGAAGACAGAATTAGTTCGTAGAAAGAAAGATATGAAGCGATTGTAATCTCATAGTTTAAGGGAAGACAGAGAGTGTATACACCGACACCATTGTGATCGATTCTGAGCTATGTCACCCAGAGTCTACAATCATTGGTTGCGATAGTCACGTGGAATCCAACCGAGTAGTCTGCATCTACCAAAATGGCTCAGACTAGAAGTTAGGGACATGAAGCACCAATTAACCACATTGAAGTTAGTGGTTTCAGATATCAATCAGTTTTCACTATGAACTGAAATCAGTTCGAGAACTGTTGAAAGCTAAATAGTATGAAACATCTGGTTTATACTATTGTTGTGCTATCGTGTATCCATTATCGGATCGAATCTAAAACCTTCGATTACCGTTCTGAAAGCGATCCATTGTTACGGTTTTTATCATGAATCGGTTTTCTTATTTCCCCTCCTTTCATGCACATTTCGACAAATCGTTCGTCATCTATTGTATTGCTGCACCAAGATTAAAAGTGCTGTATTTAAAATGGGAGATTATATATATGTTGAAGTTGGACTTTGGAAATCTGTTATTCATCAGCCTTCTTTTTAACATAAAAAGCCGTTCATTTTTGTGCGTGCAACATCATATATCGGTCCTATAGTTATCGTTGTTGTTATCCTATTAGAAAATTCAATTACAACATTAGTGGTAAATTGCTGTCTATTATTTCTAACTGTAAGTCATCGATTTAATTACTAGATCGTGAGTCCTAACCTCGCTTCATTTGTCCTAGCAATAGTAACTTAGTTCCTGTTGTATAATACACTTAGCTCGATGCGCAAGATAAAATCATTCACTTAATCACTACCAATTAAACCAAAATGACTTATGAAAACATCCTTTTGTTAATTTTGATCTAGACAAGCCTTCCAATCAACCACAAGTCAAAATATTCTCCAAACTTGTTGATACTGTAAGTAATATTTCAAATTTGATATATAAAATACATTCAGAATAGTATTATATTAATCTCATTTATATTTTAACAAATCGAAACCAGATTCTAGATTATCAAGGATTGTTTTATGATTACAACGGTCTTATTGATTTGCAAAGAGATACAGCACATTGTGTGTTCTTGTGTGTAATATATACTACCTATGGTTGTTGTTTTGCCTCCAGTTTTACCGCTTCGTCTGCGTCTTGTTTAATCTTGATTTATTTAAAGAGAGAAGATATATGGTTTATGGTATGAGTGGCTTGTAAGCTTCATTAAATCATTGAAATTATGAACCGATGTAAGTTAGACTAACATTAAGGACCCGGTAGCACTGGATGGTTATTTTATCGTAGTATGAGACTTCATCAGTGCGTACCCACAATCCTAAACCCAGGACCTTTGGTATCGTGGGCATGCTCTTAGTCTCTAGACCACTGATCCATCATCCACAACTCTATACTAAAAATTCTGCAAGTCATTGTGAGTGAAATATCGCATGAATAGAAGATTGTATATTTAAATATTAGTTGGATTGAAAAGTACTCATAATCATTTGAAGGATGCTTAAGGCAGAAAGTATTGTTTAGGGATTCCGTCATCTTTAGGATAGTTTCTTTCGAACAGTAAATACTCCTAACCCCTTCTGTGTTTCGTACTCATTAAGTTCTAGCTTTCTCTGCTAATATGTTAAATTTCAAATAAAGATAATTAGCTGTGAGTGTCTACAGTCTCAAGTCAATTATGCCTAGAAATTACCCGCCACTATAAGCATTGTATAGTTGTCTCTGCATGTTGAAAATAGAGTAAATTCGGAAAATTTAACTATCATGCTTCATCCAAGTACCCTAAAGTTTACACCAGCGCGAAACTGAAAGTTTGTAGGTCCGATTGTTTAATGTAAGTTAGATCATCTGAATGATCATTTGTAGAGGCTAGTATCCTCTATATCTGACTCCAATAAATAGTATCCCGTTAACTGAGTATTTAGTTCAGGCTAAATTTCATAGTAGAATTATGGATTTACTCGAGATTATTCAAAAACATGAACACCAGTTATAGAGATAGTTTATTGTTAAAGATTGGTAAAATCCTCAAGCTTACAGGAAGCAAGTACACGGGGAAACCAATAGTGTGTGTGTGTGTGTTAAAAATTCATATATATTTATGGGTGCTAATCAATTATGGATAAGTTATTGATTGTCTGTGTATTACAACCAATGATCAGTCAGTCACTCAGCTGCAACGTAGGACCAGGCACATGTATGCATCGGTCCAAGTTGCCATACCTCATTAGCACAACAAGATGCGCAACGGATTCATAGAAGTAGTCACTTCTAAGGTAGTAGTATATAAAAGAAAGATTGCATATAAGGATATAGTACAGGAAGAAAGAATTAGTTCGTAGAAAGAAAGATATGAAGCGATTGTAATCTCATAGTTTAAGGGAAGACAGAGAGTGTATACACCGACACCATTGTGATCGATTCTGAGCTATGTCACCCAGAGTCTACAATCATTGGTTGCGATAGTCACGTGGAATCCAACCGAGTAGTCTGCATCTACCAAAATGGCTCAGACTAGAAGTTAGTGACTTCAAGCACTGATGCCACGTTTTGGTTTGGCCACCCCTAACAACCAATGGGAGAATAGATTTAAAATTGACATGTGCTCAATCAGACTCACAAAGAAAATTACATGGTGGATCAAGTGTCTAAATAACAGTGAGCAGATAAATAATGCGATAGTTGAATGGGCTTACTACACATCTCATCAGGACATAGTTTTGATGATAACTTAGTATAATGTAACAGCCAAGTACTATTAATTTTACAGTCGTATGATTGGTATGTACTTGTAGTTAAAACGTTTATTTTAATAAATGTATCAGACATTATCTAAATACACTGAGGTACTGTTGTTTGAATAGTTGAGACATAACATCACGATAAGCATAGTGCACATGGCTGTGTTCTTTATTTAACAACTTTATTCCGACCAAAAATCTTGCTAAGAAAACGCCAACCAGTAACTAAGTTTATCTAAGAATACATACAAAATTGCGTTATACGAATTGAGGAGGCCAGGCAAATCCTAATTAACTAATTTATGCAACTCAGTGTTTATGTGCACTTTTTGAAATTTCTATATCGGTTCAGTTATTCTCATTAAGTATATCAACCATAGAAAGTGTTGCCTATTCTTACGTAATGAACTTACATAGTCGTTATTCGAACACATTAAAGTATCAACAAGCGTGTGGTTAATAGAATTACTGTGGAAAAATTTCACACACTTCCCTATAATGCGAACTCATAAAAAATCTTTATTTAAAAGTCATTCAGTAATTTTTTAGTTGGTATTATGTTTGGAACGGTGGTGGTGTTTCTTGGCTAGTAATCTTGTATCTTTACATCAGTGTAAGTTTCATTCATCATTTTGAAGGTTATCATTGAGAAGTTTTAAGTTGAACTCCTTATTTCCTTTTTACTTCTAGAATGTTTTTGAACAAGTTGAAATTGATCAAGATACAAAAAGCTCTGAACTAAATCAGTCTCAACCCTGTCATTCCAGTGCAGCTTATGGTGAACTACCATTTAATATCGCTGTAGTACTTTTTCCAGAGCTAACAAAATTGCCAACAACATTAATGTAAGTTTTATTCAATAAGATATCGTTTAAGTAAATAGAAACTTAATTTGTGTTTTTGTGTAAATAGATGTATGAACTGGACGTAGGATATTCTTTTCTAATAAATTTTCATCAGGCTCTCCAATTAAAAATTCAAATTGATGCTCTACAGGGATGATCAACTTGATTGGAAATACTACTTTTAAAAATTACGGTCTATAAATTTAGAATCACTAGTGGAATGTAATAAAATTGTTAATCTTCAGATATTTAGTGTGTATTGTTAGAATCACTAAGTTTATATATCAATGAAATCATAATATTAATAATCCGAATAGATACAGATAACAGGAGATGAAATAATAATGTGATTTTATTGTATAAATGGAATTTGACTAACAGTTAAATCCAGGACTCTCGTTTCATTATATTTAAGATTCGTCAAATGGATGTATTTGCATCTCAGTGTCTATGGCCGCACCGGAATTCAAACCCCAAACTCGGCACATCAAACGTTCAATGCTGTATCTATCTAGCTACTAAGTTTTATTTTATCTATTTTATTTGAATACATAAATATTAGTACTAGAGGGTACCAAATATATATGCGCCACACAGAACAATCAGAATGGGAAGAGAAAAAAAAGAAGGTAAGGAGCGTAAAAGAAAAAAAAGAACAATAACGACCAGAGTAGTGTAAGGTAGTGTAATAATAATAATGGGGGAAACGGAAAGGTACAACCAGAAGAAATCTTTCAGTTAAGGAAGTTTAGATAATCACTCGTTCAACGGATATGAATTTTAATTTAGTCTGTAAAGGTTTTGGAATTATTTGGTTACTGGTACTTTCGACCCAATTACGTTGCTTGTGATTTGATATGAATTACGTATCAATATTTATATCGGGTTTGTGGTAGTTGAACGTTTTATTGGCTGAAAAGAGCAGTAATAATGATGATAATATTTGAGTACGATAAATTTAAGATAAGTAAACATAAAGGAGGAGGTTGGTCATACATTATTTAAATTAGATCATTTTATGATCAAGGTAACTATTGATTTACTGGATCTGAAAGGGGTCTGAATTCATATTTCTTTTACATACAAATATCTGACTTTCTAATTCAAATAGTTATTATTTTTGGAAGACTGTAAATCAAACAGATTTTGGCAGATAATTACCAATGCGATATAATACTGTAAACGATTGATACATTTGAATTATATAAGATGGAGTAAAACTATTGACAGTTTTAGTTGCACCTTTGTTTAGTCAATCTGAAGGTGTTTTGTAAGTATGAAGAACCAATTTCTTAAAATATTAACCAACATGAATGGTTCCAAATTAGTAGTTAAATTAATAAATACAAGATAGATGATTAGTTTAGTTAATTTATCTTTCAGTCTTGGTATCACAGTCAAATGTATAGGACACAGTAATTGTAATTTTTCCACGTTGAACGTTCTTCAAATTATTTTACATAGTTTCAGCACATGTATTTCTACACGTACATCACTTCTGAATAAGTAGGCGCATTAAATTCAGTCAGTCAGTAACAACGTGGAACTTCGTACGAACGTACATCAGTTCGAGTTGCCATACCACACCAGCACAGAGATGCACTTGTCGATTCAAATCCCATAGTTGTAGAGGTAGTAACAGTATAAGCAATAGTCGGAAAGGTTATGGGTTGAAGATGTTATTCAAGGAGTATAATACAGTGAAATAAATTTAAAAAGAAAGGGACATGAAGAATTCAGAAGATTAGAATTTGGGATAACACAAAGAGTGGATGCACATGCGCCATTGCAAACGATTTTGGGTCGTGTCATTCAGGGTCTCTAACCATCGGTTGCTATCATCTCGCAGTCCCCATCCGGGTAGTCTACACCTACCAACATGGCTCAGTTCACTTGTCAGTGACTTTATGGATTTGTGGCATGTTTTGGTCTGGTCGCCCTTAGCTTTATTCCAACCTACTCCTACACCATAAAACATCGCACGTCGGGGCAGTCGATGGTCGGGCATGCGCAACACATGTCCCAGCCATCTCAACTGATTACGTTTCACTATTTCATCAATTGACTTGTCATCCCTACCTAGTACCCGTTTCCTAACAACTGAGTTACTTATTCGGTGGTCCCAGGATATACGAGCAATGCTTCGTAGACACTTTTGATCGAATACTAGTAACCTACGAATATCCTCTACTCTTACTGTCCATGTTTCACTGCTGTAGAGTAGGACGGAACGAACTGCTGCGCAGTAAACATGTCCTTTGGTTGATAGACGAATATCTCGCCTACGCCACAAATGACGCAAGTTGGCAAAAGCTAGTCGAGCCTTCTGTATCCGTACTGAGATTTCGTCACACACCAGACCACAAGAGCTGGTGAGACTTCCCAGATAAGTGAAGCGGTCGACACGCTCAACTACTTCACTCCCTATCATTATTTCGGGTGTCGATGCAACGCAATCCTGAAGCAACATCTTGCATTTCGAGGGAGAAAATCGCATGGCGAACATGCCTGCATTGTTGCTTAGAGTGGTCAGCAGACTCTGCATTTTGTCAGCGTCTTCACCAAATAGAACTATGTTATCGGCATATTCTTAGTCAAGAAGTGAATCTCCCAGTAGTTCAACCCCTGGAAATTTAGATGAGGAAAGTGTTAGTTCTAAAATCACGTCAACGACAAAGTTAAACAAGAATGGAGAGAGTGGACAGCCCTGACGAACACCACTTGAGGTAATCAATTCTGATGACAGTTCGCCATAAGCTCTCACTCGACCAGTTGTGTTCGAGTAGAGAGCCTTTATAAGGTTAATGCACTTCTTTGGTATTCCTTTCAGTGACAAACACTGCCACAACCTCACGATCAACAGAGTCGAATGCCTCTTTAAGGTGCATTAAATAGTAATTTTTTGTTAACCATTTGGACTTCCTTGTTCTATTTCCTTTGACCAAGTGTTTGTTTATACTATAATCTAATTTACATTTAATTTTAGTTTCATTTATTATCAATAATAAATAAATTCTTGTTTTTAATTGAAGTTTTCATATTCCTTGTTTAATTTTTCACTATAGTTTCTTACATATGGATTTTAAAATTATAAATAATATACGGTTTTCAGCTTTCGGTTCACAAGATGGGTGGTTTGGTTTATTCGCTGTGGACATGAAATCTCGTAGTATGTTCCTTTTTATGTTTGCCTAAAATGTTTAATTAAATGTTTATATACAATATTTGTACATTTTTATCATATAATTAATAACTTTTTCCTGTTATTAAAGTTGTGTTTATTCCCTATGAAGTTATTATAATTAAGCAGTGAATCCTACATATTCAATCGGCTACATATTATCTGATGAAAAGTTTCCTTTTATATGAAAGATATTTGAATATTCAATATATTAAGTGTTGTCAAATAGTTTATATCAGTGTTAGCTAATTTAATAAGTTCATTACACAGTATCATTATACATTTCAATTTATTTGTTACTGGGCTTTCATCTGACTGAATATAATTGTATGGAAATGTTTGAATTAACTTCTCTGAAAGTCGGCTCAATAAAAATATTAAGGTCCAATTTACCCTTAATTCTTTGTATGAATCCAATATTTTCTTTCTAAATATACTATTTATCGCGTATATCTGTTTTTGTTATCCAATCAGGAATTATACGACATTTCTATTTATCTCATGAATCACCAATCACATCCATTAAAATATTTCAACAGTTTAATGGATTTGATTCGGCTTCAGAAGAAGTAATCAAAGATAATGAAAGTAATTTACTTATTTATTTCTTTAAAATTCAACTGGTTATATTGTCAAATAATAATAATCATCTTATCTAGTGTTATATTTTTAGTACAATTTAAAATTTCCAGCATATAATATTCCAAAAAACTATTGAAGATATACAGCAGGACCGCAACTGGTTCATATTTTGAGCCATGTTTGATAACATCCTAAGCCACTGTGTTGTACTATCTCTAGGACTCTAATCAGGGAGTTGTCTGAAGGACCATCAGATGCTAGTCCTGTACAGCATTCTTTCATACCACCACACCATGTCATACACTAATCACCTTTCCTCTTTTCCAACCAGTCCCAGCGCCGGTAAATAATGCACGGTATTGAATTCGCTGTGAAGACCTTCATAAGATATCCAAGCTGCCGAAGTCAGTGTTTCAAGATTGAATCAAATTATCGTCACTGTGCCTGAACACACAATATCGAATCTCTGCATTACTAACATGGTGTTGCCAGTGTATGTTAGCAATCCTTCGGAGACAACAATGATCAGACACAGAGGGCCGTCTAACGTCCTCAACTCGGAGAGGTCAGGTTTAACAAGCATAAAGCAAGAGTGCTCCCATCAATGCGTTGGAGGTCCGACATCACGAAAGCGCTAAAATGGCCTATATTGGTATAAGCCGCTCTGGCTTTCACTATACGTGAGTTGATCTCACCACTCAAGCCATCAGCAACACTTATGCAGCTACCCTGATACACAAACTTCTCGATTACTTCTATTTGCTCACTACTCAGGGTGAGTGTAGGACCAGGGTCCTACAAGTCTTGTAAAAGTACTTTGGACTTAGAAGATGCAGAACATACACAACTTATGTAGTTTCTCAAGTTTATCTTTTCTGGTTATGAAATTAATTGTCACAAGCCGTAGATGATATTTGAAGCTAAATGGGTTGGTGGTTTATTGTTTAAGAGGTTGAACTTTCAGTCATGAATTGCGAGTTCGAACCCCTCCTCACAACTGGATAGTATTACTGGTGCTCGCCGACTGTGCCTCGAAGTCATGTATACAAATCTGTAACTGATAATGATTTACTAATAAATTATAACAATACATTAGCAAAATAATACCGATAACCGCTTAACCGGAAACCACAAACTGCTTGAGAATCTATTCATCAATAAAAGTATGGTAATTTTAGTCTCATTTTTATATTTATTTCACATTGATGTTATCATGTATGAATTTCTTAAATTTCCTACGCCTGTAGCTCATTTATGTCAGTCTCTTTCTTCCTTCATTGATTTCATAACAGATGTGTCTAACCTCAAGAAAGATGTTAATTGTTTAGTGTGTTCAGCTTTTGAACCAACTGTTGTTTATTGGTAAGCATGCAAATTTCCAACATCATATTTACATATAAGTTGTCAGATATGTGTATATTATTCGACTTTTAAAAGAAAGTGTTAACTTCACATTCTTTGTAATGTACAGATTTGTCAGAACCATCGGAATGAAGCATCTAAATTAAAGTATTTTGGCTTCTCGAAATATTTATGTACGAATATATACAGATAATTAATGTCTCTACATTAAATGATAATTGGCGCAAGGTAAAGCTCACATTAGTAATGATAAACTGGATAATAACAGTTAACTTTCAGTACAGACAAGTGTAGAAAAGTACCAATGCAATATGGTTAAACAGGTAAAAAAATGCATCAATCATTAAGAAAACAGCTAGTTTACGACTAACTAATGAAATATATGAAAAGGAGGTACATGATATAAACCATTTACGAACGAGTAGCGTAGTTATAATACGAAATTTCACGAGGTTTGTTTGTTGGTTTACTCATATTTACATTTGACTGATTCCTCCAATTGCTAACCTATCTTTAGGATACTAACTTTTTATGAAAATCTTACTTAGTATTAGAAAATATTGAGGCAAATTCAAACCCTATTTCACCTGCTTCATTTCGGACAGGTGGTTAGTTTCACTAACCATCAAACACTCATGAAGTCTCTTACACATTTTTTTAGCTGTTGTTTGCATGAATCACTGATGGGACTGAATATTGACATAGTGTCTTAGTTATTTATTTATTTTATTTAAACACATAAATATTGGTACAAGAGGGCACCAAATATATATGCCCCACACAGAACAATGAGAATTTTAAGAGAAAAAAAGAAGAGGGTAAGGAGCGTAAAAAAAGAACAATAACGGACAGATTAGTGTAAGGTAGTGTAATGATAATAATAATAATAATAATAATAATGGGGGGAACGGAAAGGTACAATCAGAAGAAATCTTTCAGTTAAGGAAGAAGCAACCGCTTTTTATGAAGAAAGTAAAAGGAGGTTATAGCAGGATCGTCACTGGCTTCTATTCTGAGCCATATCTGATAACGTCTCTAGCCCCTATTATTTCTTTTCCTACTTCTATTTTTATTCCCTAATCTCGGTTTATTTTCTTTTGCTGTTTGGAACTGATCAACCATTACAACACATTTTACATGTTTATTATATCTGAATACATTTGGGGTGTGTGTGATGAGGATTACTTATTGACTTCAATTTTAACCTCTGTTTTTTAAATCATCAAGAGAGTAAAAAACCAAGAGTATGTGCGTTACCTTAGGTTGCCGTAGCAGGAGTCTGTGACACCATTGTTCTCCAGGAAATTATTAAGTTAATTACTAAATCTAGTGACTAGGCGTAAGTCTAGTGAGAAGCAGTGACCAGTGGAGTTCAACCGGGTCTGTTATGACATAGTAACTCACTGGTGATAATGGTGGATGTGTCGCTCAATTTCGTGGATTACTTGGAGTTAGACGTTAACACCGTTGGATACCGACCGGCTCAGTTGTCTAGTGGTTAAGCGCTTGCACGCGAGACTGGTAGATCCTGGGTTCGAATCCCGTGGGGCGGGATCGTGGATGCGCATTGCTGAAGAGTCCCGCAGTAGGACGGACGAGCCGTCCAATTCTTCTAGGTTTTCCATGTTGGTCTAGCTTCAATTGACTCATGATCTCAACTATCAAAATTACTATAATATCCAGAAAACCAATTATGATATTTTATTTTTGCCTAAAAGATTTTATCTGTTTTATCAATAATATGGTCAAACTTCATCTTAAGGTTAATCTCTAATGATCACGCGGTTATTATATAGTTTGAAGGTAAATAGACTTCATTAATAAAAAGAGATTTCAATTATTTATATTACACTTTATTCGGTATCATATAGAGTAATTAATGTATGAATTTTGTTATCATTTTAGTAATATCTTCAAAAATAACGGCTTCAGTATACAAAATCAGTTAATTTTACCATTTAGCACAGATTTTGATCATGTCAATTGTGCTTCAGTCGATGATTTTAATTTAGATGGTAAAACTGAAATTATACTTGGAACATTTGGACAACGATTACTTTATTATGAATGGGAGTTAAATAATACAGATTCAAAAAATGGACAATTCATGTAATCTATTTCATTTTCTTATTACTCTATATATGTTGCATATTCGTACTCTGAAAGGATTAATGAAAATTTGTAAAACTTTTATTAAACGCTACCGATGTTTGGTGATTAGAGAACTAATTTTTAAACTATTAGCTTACAGCTTTGGTTTAAACAACCTAACACTACTATTACTATTACTATTACTATTACTATTACTATTACTATTACTATTACTATTACTACTACTACTACTACTACTACTACTACTACTACTACTACTACTACTACTAACTACTAACTACTACCGAACACTTAAGCAACATCTATTAATGCATAGAGCTGTTATTCATTAGTTTAAACATTCCATAGTTACAAACTGTATCTCATGTAATATTTACATGTTAGTATCGTTATAATTAATTTGGTTTATGACCTATAACTTATCATAAATTGACGGTTAAATTAGCCGTTTCAGATAAAGTGTTATGAATGTTATGAATACCGTTGTTTGTATTAGACAACCACCACTCATATCGATACAGTTATGATAAGGTATTCATAAATTTATTTTATCTGAACTCACAAAATCTTTTAAATCATGATATATGTATATTCTATCGATTTTGGAAAGTTTATTACCTATTTTAATATTGTTTTTAGATTCGCAGTGAAAAACGTTTATGCTCCATAAAGTTTGACGAAACGAATCGAATTACTTATGCCCAACAATGATAGAGTTAGAGAGTTTTAGAAGTAGTTCATTTGAAACCAGTTAGTCTTATGCTTTATAAAAGAATCAGTTTACTTTAGTAAACGGGAACATAGAAGGGTAGTGATAGTTTCTTAGTAAAATAATCCAACTGATTAACTGACTAAATATTATAAATGACGAATGAGCATCAAAGGATGAATTATTAAGATGATGCAGGTGTAAATGTTGCTTACATTCCTTGATTACGTGATCTAGTATGTCTAAGTGTTCGAATTCGAATTGTGTGTTATTGCCCATGAATAGTTTAGTGTTGATCTGTTCCATTAATGGTAAATCACCAGCTTTATTATGTACTGCTACCCTGTTCGAGTTTCAATTCATCTAGGCTTAGATTTTTTTTGAGCATCACTGAATTTCCGGTATGGTGGCTAAACCTCGTATAGCAATCCGTTACAGTATACTTTTCTTTAGAAAGTCTTCCCTATTGGAATTGAACATGTTTAATTGCAATTCGAAAAACTAGATCTCTACAGACTCATCTTCAAAGCAATGTGTTGATAAAATGTCTTTTTCATTTCCTAAGTAGAATAATGACTGCATTAGACTGTCAAATCCAATTATAACATCTGCCAACTGATAGGTCTGCAAAGTCAAATTTCCATCTGTCGTATATCGTTGTTCAAAGTTTACTAATCGCCGTAGTCTCCGACATATATATATATATATATATATATATATATATATATATATATATATGAATTGGATTTATGACTCGATTTAAGCTATATGACAATTAAAAACCTGGAAGCACTGAACGGCCGTTTCGTTCTAGTGTGAGACTCCTCAGTAGTGCTCATCTACGATCTCGCATGCGGGCCTCGAACCTGCCAAATGTCCCATACTGAGACGAAACAGCCGTTCTGTGTTTCCAGCTTTTCATTCATGGTCTAGCTTAAATCAACTCAAAAATCCAACTACTAAAAATTACTACAATCTCCACAAACCCCCACTCTAATATATATTAAAGGACGTCTTTGTTTTGTCTTAGTTCTCATTATTATATATATATAAAAAAGTGACCAAAACAATGTTTAAGATTCATGAGTTTTTCATATCCACCCCAATGAATTCAATAACAATCAGTCGAATCGTAGTCTCCAACATCTGTATCACATCAACTTTAATTTCCAAATTATTAAAAATAACTACTAGGTATATTATAAAACTTCGAATTTGTATAATGACATTCAATTTGTAAATAATTTATTCCTTTTTTATGTTAAAACAATCTTATTGGAAGTTGTTGTTTATTTTAGATTAAAATTTCAACGTTCACTTCCTGGTCCAGTATTTTCTATATCTCCTGCTTTAGATTTAATCGGTGAAGGTCCTCTATCATTAGCAGTTCTAACTAGTCGTGGACTACATATATTTCAACATGATACATATTGTTTAATAAAAGAAATTCATCATAGATTAGACAATCATTCATCTTTAATATCTAATTTGTAAAATACTTATTATTTGTGATTATATACATATATATGATTATTAAAAATTCTCATTGTGAAAATTAAAACAACACACATATAAGCGAAGTATTGTTTTCAATTAGAACGTCATTAGGCTTTACTCTAATATACATGAATATTTATACGAAAATATTCAACTAATCAAGGCAATTTAAGTCAATAATCATAATGAAAAAAAATTGGGGTTAAATGTGTACAGAAAAAATTTGTGACCCCCTCCTCCTATCGCTTCCATGGCCAATTATAACTTAACAAACGACATTTTTATTGATTGATTGATTTGTGTTCTCATTAACATAAATTTCACATCCATTATTTTGGTTTGTAATTTTTCATCGCTTTCCGTTTGTATTCTTCACTATCGAACTATTTATATACTTCTTATTACGTAATAATTTTAATGTTTTGTAATGACTATTGGAAGTTTATTTACCCAAGTTGAACCTTCTATTTCTAATGAGTTTGTAGGTATCATTACCAAAGCTTGACTTGATAATTTCGAATAAATTGAGCATTGAGTAGATTGTTATGAATAAATTAATATATTTTTGTAATATCCCAATGAGTAGAAAAATTAGATTTTCTGATAAGACTTTTGTTATTTTATTTTATTATTCTTACAACTATTAGTACATTTGTCTTCTTACTATCTACTTGTTCTTTTATCTATTATGTGTAGTGACTTATTCTATTTCATTGTGATTATATATATATATATATATATATATATATATATATATATATATATATATACCCCACAGCTACACTGTTCAAGTTTCAATTCATCTAGACTTAGCTTTTTTTTGCACATCACTGAATTTCCAGTAAGGTGGCTAAACCTCGTATAGCAATCCGTAACAGTATACTGGAAAAATTGATTTCTGATTTGTACATTTCTTAATTGTTCATTTAATTTGTGTTTTTTGTTGACTTCTATTTTTTTAAAAATAGTTTTTTTTAATAAATCAACTAAAGAAAAAACAGATTTTGAGTAGAAAAATCTAAAAAGGAAAAGATTTTAACTGTTGTATTTCCATGGTTTTTGTAAATAGTCAATACCCCCCCCAATCTATCTTTATCCATAGACTTTAAAACAATACTAAAGTTATATGATCACTTCTTTCTAGATAAATAAATAACATCTCTCTTTTCTATACATACGGTTTTAATGGGTTAATTTAAACAAATCACTGCGAGACTATAATTTATGGATGAACCAATCAAATCATAGTCTTAATTCATCGCACAGGTTTATAACCCTTATTTGGTCCTAGTGATTAGGTGGACACTATAAGTCAGTCTAGCGTCACTCAAAGGTCGTCCATATATTATAGTCTCAAGCAAATCACTCTTATTCATTTTCGTATCAAAGAAATATACAATGTCCAGAATGACTTAAAAACGAACCAAGCGTATTCAGTTTACGATTCATCTTAAAAATTCATTAAAATACTAAAAACATCAATTGCTAACTAATAAAATTTTATGCATTTTGAAAGCTTCAATGAAAATTTAAATCATCGGTAAGTGGTGAACAAGGATAACATTATGTTCTATGGTCCGATTTAATCAATGAAACACTTTCTTCTAACTAACCTAGTTGTCATAATAAAAGAACAGGGTACGAAACTTTGTCTAAGTTCATATAGTAATGCTTACACGACATGCATATCTATAAGTTGCCAAACTTGTAAGAACAAACAAGTAGTACTGACGTTAGTTAGTTTTATAATTCATATACTCGTAACAGCTTTCTCACATTTATATCTTACCTTCTGTGCAACATGTTCTTCTATCTGATTTTATCTAGCACATCCATTCCTTTTAAACACAACTAGCCTCTAATCACTTCAGTTCATATTTATTTAACATGCTTGACAGATAATAATTTAGGGGATTCTCAACACAGTGTTTCAACAAGTTTCTTTTGCTAAATACGAAACAGAAGTCGATAACTGCATTAATATATGCATGAAATAAGTAAATAAACCATCTCCAATTAAATGAAGTTTTTCTTTAGTAACTTTTGATTAACAGTTGGCCTAAAAATACTGGTTTCTGACTCGATCAGCTCTTACAACCTAGTCGTCGCATAGTATTTTTGCTGGATAAGTTATTGTACAGTCTCTCAGCTTTTCTTACGTGCATGGATTTTGATGTATTACCTCCTCGTTTTATCAAAAAATATACAAAGAGAGATGTCAGTGAAGTGAATGTTTTGTATCTGATATGATGACAATTGTCAAGAGCTTGCATGTTTTTAAATGTCTGTCCACAAGCATATTCATAATGACTTCAAAAGATTCAACACACACCCTTCGCAACACAGTAAAATATTTTCTCAAAATATCGGGAAACAATAATGGGGGACAGTAAGGAATAATAGTTCGTATGCAAGGATTTACAAATCGTGATAGTAATGCCAAAACCGTGTAGCTATTTTATGTAATAGGTCAAGCGAAAAACTTCGATATCAATAAAACATCTGAAGAGATAAGAGGTTAAATTTACACCAAGGTAAATGGCGTTTGACGATTTTTATTTCAGTATGTCCAATTGTACAAACTTTATGGGATTCCAAAAGGGTGTTTGAGTGCTGTCCATGTCTCATTTAGAAGGACCATTAATAACAGACCGTCGTTCAATGAGAAAGAACATTTTATTTATTCCAAGAGGTTGTAAAAAGTTACAGATCGGTGTAAATGCACTCAAATTACCCGCACACCTAATAAGTGTTTTCTGAGGAAGATAACAGATCATGAATAAAGGGAAAGAACAGGTATTTGTGGAACACCATGAGTTAGTAAAGACGTTGAAATTTTTCCTAGCACAGTACAATGTTATGTTTCAGAGAGGTAAGAACCTTGACAGTCGGTTATCCAGCTGTCAGAGTATTGTTACAATTCATAAAGTATCTTGTATGGATAAAATAAACCAGATTTTATTTCATTCTGAAAATCAATTAATCTATAAATTATTCCATTGTAAACTAAATATGTGTGTCTAGTGGTTAAGACGTCCAACTTTCAATCATTAGGTTATAGGTTCAATTCTAACTCAACTTAGGGCAGCTGAATATCATTATTCTACACACAAAAGTATGACTCAAAATTGGGTACACGATTCTGTATTAGGTAAACAAACAACATCCCGAAATTTAATATTCAAGATGCAATATATTTTCAAATAAAATATATATTTAGATTGAATATTTATTGAACAGGGAAATGACATAAAGGACAATTGTGCAATTTTGTTATTTCATTTTCATAAGCACAATGTTTACATGTTGGACACATCCAAAATTGATAATCTGTAATCGGTTGACCAGTGACTACACATACAGGAATTTTTGTCTCACTAAAATTTTTAGGTAAAAATACAAAAGAAATGTTAGGTTTATCTGTCGAATAACATGTTTATTTGCAATCTAATATCTATTTTATTAGTAGACAGAGAAGATACATTACCATTGTACTGTATACTAAAAGCATTATAGAAAAAGTCTCTATTTTGTTTAAACAGAATCTTGTTACAGTGTCGCAGGTAAACACAAGGGTTCTATAACAAAGCTGAAATGCAGTTTATCAATGCTAATTTTCTTCAGTCTTCCCCTAAGTCCTTATTCTCAACATTATTTCACACCATTCTTTGTTTTTGATCAATATTCTCTATGTTTAGTCTTCCTTACTATCACTAGTATAACCATTTCGTCTTGTTAATTCAGTCTAGTTCTGTGGATGTGCAAAAGTTTAAACCGTTTCATATCTGTACCGAAACATATATTAATATTAACTAACTGAGGGATCATGCATACATATGCCTACTGATAGGATGGATATTGAAGAACAAAAATATTGATGTTCAATTCAGTTTTTGACAAGTCAAAAAATAATACTAGCAATAATTTGTTGTATGAAAGTGATTATTCACTAAACAACTGATCTATACATTATAAGACTACCATTTATACATCATGTATAACATCACATATCAATCAGATTCAAGGGTGCCAAAGAATATGTGAATACGACTATTGTGATAACTCAGTATTTTCTATAAACAGGTCGTTTATTTAAGTCAAATATTGGTTAACCATAAACTGAAATCAATGTAAAATGTCTCGAGTATCGAATTTAGTCGACAGTGCAAAAAGAATATGTAGTGCAGTTTCCTAAGTAAAATTAAAGAATAAACTCTAAATTTTTTTAAAAAACACCTGTAATTAGATTCTACTCTTACACTCCTTGGTTAATTTGGTCAGTTTAAATAAAAGGAAACGACAGATTTATCGGCTGGTTTTGTTCCATCCTGTTTGTTTTTTCATCTTGTTCTATCTCGTTATGAACGATTATAAGCGCATTGTAACAACAGACGTATTACTCTTCGTTACATTATCCATTCTTAAAGCCGACGTTTCAATTTACTGAGGAAATACTAGTTTCCATTTATTTTTTGCTTCACATTATTGTATTCCCTGTGGTAAACGCAATTCAGGAATCATATCTTTCCAAGCAGTTTACTATCATATCTCTTCCCTTTATATGTTACATTCTTTTCTTCATTAACTTACTCATGCCTAAAAATCAACATATCTTCTGTATTCATTAGAATATAAATTATTTAAATAAGCAGAAAATACTACCCTTATATAGAGTGGCACATGTAAGAATTGCTACCAATTATATTTAACTACTTACATCGAATAGCAGTAGTAAGATGTCATGGCTGAATAAAAAGTAAACTTGAAATAGCATAGAATAACTTCTCTTACCTTTCTAACATTGAATCCATTTCAGGAGACTCCACTGTATCTTGTTCGTTTATAGGTTGATGTCTATCAAAAAGATATAACGATAAAACATTCATTTTTATGTCTAGTCAGAAAGTTTGTCTAGAGTCAAAGAATTTTTTCTTAACCAGTCTTCATCATAAATTGATATTGTGATTATCAAAGTTTTTAAAATAACGTCTTAAAGAAATCAAAGATTCTCTAAGAAGAGTTCAATTGAAATGAATTTCTTACGATTTCACGATTCAAAGTTAACTTTCATACAAGGTTTTTAAATTATATCTACCTCTCTATACATTCAGGACAGAGTTGGATGGAGAATGCTGGTTGGCGGCCTATGCTCCATTAGGAGTAACAGGCGTAAGTAAGTAAGTAAGTTTCTATACATTATAATCTATTCACATAAGCATAAAATATTAGATATTGATTTATAACAAACAGACATATCTGAAGTATAATAATTACTGAATAACACCTACCTGGAAAATAGATCTAAACATAATTCTTTAATTTCTTTCTGTTCAATTGATGAGATATCTGTTAGATTTTCTAATTTTATAAAAGCTTTAGAACAGACAACGTAGTTTTTTGCATAAATAGCACATAGAGCTAAAAAAAATACAAGTTAAACACATCAGTACTAATACGAAGATAAGTTATAAAGCATTATCATATTAGTATTATAGACCAAACTAATTTATACACCCGTTGAAAACTAGGAAGCCTTGATTAGCTGTTTTTCCTCAGTTTGGAGTTACTCAGCAGTGTGCACCCATGACATCATTGGTGAGAATCTAACTCAGGACTTTAAGTTTCATATAAAAACCCTTAACCTGTAAACCAATGTTTATTTCTTCCTGGTTTTCAGTGAATGTCCAAATTATGCCGATCTGTAGTGTCAATACTATCAAATAATTCTCATATACTTGTATATTAATGAAGTATTATTCACTTATAGAAT